GGGTTTCAGTTTTTCCCCATTCAGTGTGATACTAACTGTGGGTCTGTCATCTGTGTTTTTAATGGTGTCCATTGTGTTGAGGTATGTTCCTTCTATACTCAGTTTTTTGAGGTTTTATTTTTCCATGAAGAGATGTTGAATTTTATCAAATGCTCATTCAGCATCAATTGAATTAATCATATGGTTGTGGCCTTCATTTTGTTGATATGATGTATCACATTGACTGGTTTGCATATGTTGAAACATCCTCACATCCCAGAGTTAAATCCCATTTGGTCATGATGAATGATATTTTTAATGTGTTGTTGAAATCGCTTTGCTAGTATTTTGTTGAGGATTTTTGCACCAATATTCATCAGGGTTATTGGAGTATAATTTTGTGCTTTTTTTTTTTACTGTATCTTTGTCTGGTTTTGGTATCAGGGTAATGACCTTATACAATGACCTCATAAAATCAATTTGGAATCATTCCAACACATCCCTATTTTTTGGAATAGATTAATTAAGATTGGTATTAGCTCTTCTTTAAATGTTTGGTAGAATTCAGCATTGAAGCCATGGGGTCACTGGCTTTTCTTTGCTGTGAGATTTTTTTTTTTTATTATTATAGTTTGGCTCTCATTGCTTGTTATTGGTCTATTCAGGTTTTGGATTTCTTCATGGTTTCATAATGCTATGTCGTATATGTCTAGGAATTTGTCCAGTTCTTCTAGGTTTTCCAACTTATTGACATATAGTTTTTCATAGAAGTCTCTAATGATTCTTTGAATTTCTACAGTATCAGTTGTAATGTCTCCCTTTTTATCTCTGATTTTATTTATTTGGGTATTTTCTCTTTTATTCTTAGTGTGGCTTAAGTTTTGTCAATTTTAAAAAATTTCTTTGATAAACCAACTTTTCATTTTATTGATGTTTGGGTTTTTTTCATTTTAGTCTCATTTATTTGTGCTCTGATTTTTATTATTTGTTTCCTTCTACTAATTTTAGGCTAGGTTTGTTCTTACTTTTCTAGCTCTTTAGGATGAATTGTTAGGTTGCTTACTGGAAGTTTTTCTACTTTTTAAATGTAGGTGTTTATAGCTATAAACATTCCTCTTAGTACTGCTTTTGCTGTATCCCCTAGGTTTGGCATATTATGTTTCCCATATCATTTGTTTCAATGATTTTTTTCAATTTCCTGCTTAGTTTACTCCTTGACCCACTGATCATTCAGCACCATATTGTTTAATTTCCATGTGTTTGTATAGTTTCCATAGTTCCTCTTTTTATTTTTTTGGCATTATGAACGCTTTTTAAAATGACAACAGATAGTAAATTTATACAAATTACAGGCTACAATATAGTGAATACAGAATCCATCCAGCTAACGGTTAGAAAAGCATCACTTGCAAAAGTAAATCTGATTCAAGTAGCTAAAGAAAACAAGCCCCCCATTCTGATGATTACACATGGCTTGAAATGCAACACATCTAAATCCTCCTTCTAGTCAGGGCACTATTCAATACTACAGCATATTCATCTAAATCCTCCTTCTAGTCAGGGCACTATTCAATACTACAGCATATTCAAGGACTCTAGTGATTTAAAGATTCTAACACTTTTAGCATCGACATCAAGAGACATCGCGTAACAGGTTCACTATGCAAAACTGAAATGAGAATGTGTGAACATTCTTTGCAAACTGTAAGGTGTTGTGCAGATGTTAGCTATTGCTATTATTACTGTTCAGTGAGACTACACTGAAAGTGGGAAAAAGGAAGACTACTCTGTATAACTGACAACTATGACTTTTAGAACATCTCAAAAGGAATGCCGATATTACTCTCAAATACACATAGCAACAACATAGGCAAGGAAAGTGTGGCCAGGAGCGACGCCGAGGAATTCCTATTTTAAAGACTACATAAAGGATTAAGCTAGTCATAGATTATGTGTAATATTTATCATTAGATTCCCAAAGTCCCTGAAAATAATTTATTTTTAAGATAACCCTTTCCCCCTGAAAAGAGAAAAAGAAATCTTGACAGGTTACCAATGTGTTGCTTCAGCCAGCTCTTGTGAAAATTATCTTAAACATAGGAGTAGAGGCTGAATGAATAGTTATACTAATGTGGTGGGTGACACAGAGTGTTTGACAGCAGAGATAATTGCCACTGACCTTAGATAAATAACAAATTCTCTATCAGAGTTGAATTATAAGTTTACAACTTCACTTGGGCACAAATTAAACAATAAACATGAACTTGTCTAGAGATAAGAAATACACACTAGGTACATTTAAAATGGGATTGAAATCCTTTTTACGTACTTTTGGGTTTCATCTTTCTCTGGATACACCCTGTTTGTTTTACTGATTTTGCTGGTCTCCTTGGGTATTCTAACTATATACACAAACTTTACATGAATATGGAAAACAAATACCAAACACATAAATCAGTTATTTCTTTTGGCAAAGCTGATGAGATTTTTATGATGAAAATGTTCTAATTATTAGGCTGGGCATGGTGGCTCACGCCTGTAATCCCAGCACTTTGAGAGGTGGAGGGCAGGTGTATCGCCTGAGGTCAGGAGTTCGAGACCAGCCTGGCTAACATTGCAAAACCCGGTTTCTACTAAAAATACAAAAATTAGCTGGGTGTGGCGTCATCCCAGCTACTTGGGAGACTGAGGCAGCAGAATTGCTTGAAATCAGGAGGTGAAGGTTGAAGTGAGCTGAGATTGTGCCCTTGCACTCCAGCTTGGGGAAGAAGAGTGAAACTCTGTCAAGAAAGAAAAGAGAAGAAAGAGAAAGAAAGAAAAGAAAGAAGAAAGAAAGAAAGAAAGAAGGAAGGAAGGAAGGAAGGAAGGAAGGAAGGNAGAAAGAAAGAAAGAAAGAAAGAAAGAAAGAAAGAAAGAAAGAAAGAAAGGAAGGAGGGAGGGAGGGAGGGAGGAAAGAGGGAAGGAAGGAAAGAGGGAAAGAAGGAGGGAGGGAGAGAGGGAGAGAGGGAGGGAGGGAGGGAGGGAGGAAGGAAGGAAGGAAGGAAGGAAGGAAGGAAGGAAGGAAGGAAGGAAGGGAAGAAAGAAAAAGAAAGAAAAAGTGTTCTATTATTATAATGTATTTCTGTTACATTTCCATGAAACATAGGTTTTTTTTTAAATGGCAGGTTTAAATTTTTTTTGCTAATAACACAAAACCAGATTTTACTGTTATATATACAATGGTACCCATTTGAATAGCTAATGACATCAGACGCATTCTACAGCAGACTTTTCATTCTTCAACACAACTGACAAAATGGACTACATTCTTGGGGACAAAACAGGAGGTGAGGAAGGTAATGTGTTACCATAAATGGGGTTAAATCAGTAGTCTGGGATGACACTTCAAGTTATACCTCCTAATTGAGGTTATTCTTACCATCAGTTTTCAAACAATAGGAAACGTATTTCTACCTTAAAACATGTATAAGGGCTTAACTGTAGTTTTCCTTTCTATACATCTTGAAGTATATACATTGTGTAAAAGGAAACTAGTGAGACATCTTGAAAAATAAATCTGTTTGTTAAATACTATATGTTATTTAACATAGTTAAAAACAGCAGCATACTAGTGAGTTAACAGTTAAAACTCTAGGAAAAAACTAACTGCTGTGAAAGCAAGTCTATTTTGTAATAATCCTAAATATCAATCTTAGCATTCAATTTTAACCTTCAAACACTTGGCGCATTTTCCAAGAGGAAATTGCAACTGCCTTTGCATGTGCCCCTGGTTTAAATACTTGCAGAAAAATACCATATATCATTACCTATTCAGCAAATGCCTGAAACCAAACAAAATAATCCAACATTGGACAGTAATATTTTACAAATAGCATTAGATCCCAAAACCACAAGAAAAACTTTGGCATTATATAAAAAGAAATTAGATGGACAATTCTAAATACAACAATATGTCTTAAGTAGGGACCATCTAGAAATGTACCATACACTACCCTAGACTCAAATGTCATTATGCTAAAATTGTAGTCTTTAAGCAAGAATTAAAAACAGTTCCATAATAACCATACTGATCTTTCACTTTTCTCAACAGTTAAACACAAATGCCTATTTGACTTTTATGACTAATCATCCCTCTATTCCTTTAGTCCAGTTTCACAACATAAAAAATAACAAATGTGAACAAGAAATCAGTAATGGTTTCAAATACTTAAGCAAGAATCCTAAGTATTAGGACTATCAGTAACAGAAAATTTGAATTTTAAGAGAATAAAGACAGAATGTGCTTATTTAGAAAATGGCCAATAAGGCCAGGTGTGGTGGCTCACACCTGTAATCCCAGCACTTTGGGAGGTTGAGGCAGCTGGGTCAGGAGTTCGAGACCAGCCTGGCCAACATGGTGAAACCCCCATCTCTACTAAAAAATATTAAAAAAAAAAAATTAGCCGGGTGTAGTGGGGGGCATCTGTAGTCCCAGCTACTCAGGAGACTGAGGCTGAGAATCACTTCAACCCAGGAGGTGGAGGTTGCTGTGAGCTGAGATCATGCCACTGTACTCCAGCCCGGGCAACAGAGTGAGACAAGAAAAGAAAGAAAGGAGGAAAGAAGGAGGGAAGGAAGGAAGGAAGGAAGGAAGGAAGGAAGGAGGGAGGGAGGGAGGGAGGGAGGGAGGGAGGGAGGGAAGGAAGGAAGGAAGGAAATAGGAAAAAAGAAAAAAATGGTCAATAATCACTCACCTGAAAAAAATGCAAATAGCTGTCAGGAAAATCTGGCAAAATTTGAACTTGTAAACTAAACTTTTAGTATGTATCAAACTAGCATTAAGAAATGGCTTTCAAAAATGCATATGGGATGTAAACTAAAATAGAGCTTATTTTTAGAAGGCAACATTATGGGAAATTTTGATTTTTTTTTTTCTTGTTTGAATATCTCTTCTTCCAGTTTTCTACAAAGAACTGGTTTTATATATGGTTTTATATTATGGTTTTATAATAAAACAAACAAACATTTGAGGGAATGTTTTAGATTGCACACAATTAGTACCAAGTAACTAAAAGTACACAGACTAAAGATACGAAAATAAATTCAAGGATTTTTTTCCATCAGATAACCCCAAGGAGAATACATTTTGGGTATTAAAAAAAAAAACGTTTTCAAGATTTTTTCTATTCTTAACATATGCAAAAATGAACATATTTAAATGCAAATTCCTATCATATACACTACAATTTTAAAAAACAGTAGGAAAAACAATTTTAAATGAAGCTTCCTCAAACCTTTTAATTGAAGCCTAGCTTCAATGCTGAATGAGGAAGCAAAGTATCTTATTAAAAAGTTGGTCTGCAAAGCACAAAGCTGGCCTGCAAGAGGACTTGAAGGAAGCAGGCTGCGTGTTTGAATAGTGAGATCTTTGCTTTGCTCTCTAGATCCTTCGGTAAGCTAAAGTCCTTTGACCTGAATGGGTGTGATTTAGCCTAGTTTTCCCATAAAATAATGTAATGGAAAATTCCTACTGACTAGAGATTACACTTTATGTGAAATTCCTTAGTGACATTCAAATTCCAGTGTCCACAATTTAAGCAACTTTCCATAGGAAATTAAAATTTCAAATCCAAGGACTTGGTATTTTCATGCTAAGGAAAGCATTCCAGCGTAAAGTGGAGTCTAATTTGCTTCACTGTGTGCATCTTAATATATCCAAAGGAGTAAAACTCAAAAGCAACCATAAGTCAGAATACTATAAAACATGTTTTGTTGAAAGAAGCTATAATTCCTTCCAGAATAATGTGTAACTAAATTAACATATTTATTTGTAACTAATTTAACTTTTCCGAATTCTCATTTGCAAATGAGGGTCATACAGTTAAAACTGAATTAAACCAATGTATTAGAAGGATCAAAATTTACACTATTCAAACATGACTCCTTAAGACTGACTTGAATATGTTCTTTCAATTTTATTCAAATCAGATGTCTCCCACTCCAGCCTTTACCATTTAAAAAATCAATTTAATACTATCAAAAGGTAATGTTCATTTTAATCCTGTTTGCCTTCACGCCACTGTCGTGAGCCTTCATTCCAGGCGACGTACACAAAGAGGGCCAGCACCACATGGACAGCCAACACTGCAACAATAGCAGCATAAAAATAGCTGTCCGCATTGGACATCCAAAAGGCGCCTTCAAATATGTAAGATTTAGTTGTGAAATATAATCCAGTAGGAGGAGTGATCAATAGAGCTGTAAAGAACAGGAGCGACTTCAGTGTAAATGCTAATGAGCTTTCATTTCCGAACTCCGGAGGCTGCAGTGCGTTCAGCGCTGCTTTATCCAGGCACTCCATGGTGTCGCCCTGCCGGCCCCAGGAGCTCGGCGGCAGGGGACTGGTCAAGGCGGTTCCGGTTCCTCTTGTTTTTGACTTCTTGTTTTATTTCATTATGGTCAGAGAAGACGCTTGATATGATTTCAATTATTTTCAATGTTTTAAGACTTGCTTCGTGGCCTAAAACATATGATCTATCCTTGAGAATGACCCATGTGCTGAAGAGAAGAATGTGTATTCCTCCTCCATTGGATGAAGTGTTCTGTAAATATCTATTAGGTCCATTTGGTCTACAGTGCAGAGTATGTCTGATGTTTCTTTGTTGATTTTCTGTCTAGATGATCTGTCCAGTGCTGAAAGTGGGGTGCTGAAGTCTCCAGCTATTAGAGTATTGGAATCCACCTCTCCCTTTAGCTCTATTAATATTTTATTTATATATCTAGGTGCACCAGTGTTGAGCGCATATGTATTTGCAATTATTATATCCTCTTGCTGAATTGGCCCCTTTATCATATGTAATGTCCCTCTTTGTCCTTTTTATTTGGTCTTGAAATCTGTTTATTCTGATATAAGTAAGTACAGTTACTCCTGCATTTTTTTTTTTTTTTTCCACTGGCATGGAATATCTTTTTCCATCTTTTTATTTTCAGTCTATACATGTCTTTATGGATGATGTGTGTGTCTTGAGCTATTGAGCTATTCTATCTTTTGACTGGAGAGTTTAATCCATTTCCATTCAATATTATTATTAATCAGTAAGGACTTCTGCCATTTTGGTTATTTGTTTTCTGGTTGTTTTGTGGTCTTCTCTTCCTTCCTTCCTGTCTTCCTTTTTGTGAAACATTCTAGTGGTATGTTTAAATTATTTCCTTTTAATTTTTGGGTATCTGTCGTAGGTTTTTTGATTTGGAGTTATTCTAATGCTTTCAAATAACATCTTATAACCCATTATTTTAAAGTGATGACAACTTAACAGTAATTGCAAAACAAACTTACAAACAACAACAAAAAATTAATAAAAAGTGTACACTTTAACTTCATTCTCCCTCTACTTTTAAACTTTTTCTTGGTTCAATTTATATCTTATTACACTGTCCATGTTTTGAAAAAATGTTTTAGTTATTATTTTTGATAGATTCATCTTTTAGTTCTTCTACTCAAGATATGAGTAGCTTACACAACACAACTACAATATTATAATATTCTGTGTTTGTGTACTTTCTATTACCAATGAGTGTTTTGCCTTCAGATGATATTTTATTGCTTGTTAACACCTTTTTCTTTCAGATTGAAGAAATCCATTTAACATTTTGTGAGACAAGCCAGGATGTTTGTGAAGTCCATCAAGTTGTGGTTTGTTTCTTTGCTGGGAAAGTATTTCTCCTTCATGTTTGAAGAATATTTTCACTGGATATAGTACTCTAGGATAATAGATTTTTTTTCCTTCAACACTTTAAATATGTCGCACTCCTCTCTCCTGGTCTGTAAATTTTCCACTGAGGTGTCTGCTGTCAAATGTATTGGAGCTCCACTGTATGTAATTTGTTTCTTTTCTCTTGGTGCTTTTAGGGTCCTTTCTGTATCCTTGATCTTTCGGAGTTTGATTATAAAATGTGTTGAGGTAGTCTTCCTTTGGTTAAACCTTCTTTGTGTTCGATAGCCTTGTATTTGGATATTGATCTCTTTCTTTAGGTTTGAGAAGCTTTCTATTAGTATCCCTTTGGATAAACTTTCTGTCCCTATATCTTTCTCTCAAAGGGAAGCTTTGAGGCCAATAACTTAGATTTTTTCCTTTTGACGCTATTTTTCTAAATCTCATAGATGTGCTTGTTTTTTATCACTTTTTCTTTTGTCTCCTCTTACTGTGAGTTTTCAAACAGCCTGTCTTTAACTTCACTAATTATTTCTTTGGCTTGATCAATTCTGCTATTAAAGGACTATGATGCATTCTTCAGTATACCAGGTACATTTTTCAGCTGTAGAATTTCTGTTTCTTTTTAATTACTTCAATCTCTTTGTTAAATTTATCTGATAGAATTCTAAATTCCTTCTCTGTGTTATGTTGAATTTCTTTGAGTTTTCTTAGCACAGTTATTTTGAATTTTCTGTCTGAAAGGTCATGCATCCCTTTTTTTTCAAGATGGTCACAGGCGGCTTATTTCACCTATTTGGTGAGGTCATCTTCCTGGATGGTGCTGATGCTAGTAGATACTCTTCAGTGTCTTGGCATTAAAGAGTTCAATATTTATTGTAGTCACCACAGTCTCAGCTTTTTTGTAACCATCATCCTTGGGAAGGCTTTTCAGATATTTGAAAGGACTTGTGATCTAAGATATATTTGCTTCAGTAGGCACCTCAAGCCTCCCTTCTTGCTTTTTATAATTTTCCATTTCCTGTACTCTGCTCAAGTTCTTACTATTTCCTCTCTCCTTTCATTTTTTTCTTCATAATACCTAGGTACCTCTCCACAAATTGAAGCTGTGTTCAGTTTATGCTGGATGATTTTCCCTATTGCAATAGTACATTGCCAATTATTTTAAAATCTGTCTTTACAACTTCAACAAGTCTCCAGCTTTTTCGACGAAATCCTTAAAGATTCTTTAAAGATCTTCAGTTTTAGAGGAATAGCATAAATTCTGTTTTACTCTAATTCTTTTCTTCTTTCCCATCTTCAATATATTTTCAAATAAGAGAATGACATTCTTCTTATCTATGTTTTGAAAATATGATTTTATGGCAGACCAACAGTTTAATATATTTTCTGTGACTGGCAACAATAATAGCCCTCTTGTAGACATGTGTCTGAGGATGCTATCTACTTCCATTTATGTATAGTCAAAAATCCCAGTAAGTGCTTCTTCATGTTTTGAGAAAATTGAAACACCTTTCATTATGAAAACCTCAATATTACAGACAAGCAGATCACTCTTATTTTATCAATGGTGTGTGCAAGGTGTGCATATTTAGCAGTTAAGATATTTTCATCTTTTTTGTAATAAGTTTTGTAGCCTGAACAGAATTTGCTAAATTTTATATTGAATGTTCAGGTATATGAACAAATTCTAGTTCGTAGTTGTATAAATTTGGGCCCACTCCCAGGGATAGTAGTGTTTGGAGTTTCTGAGTGGCTTGTTAAAGTGAAGTGGACAAGATGCATGGTCTCATAGGACAAGAAATTTAGTGGGAGTGAGAGGTGAGTGTGTGTGGGTGTGTACTACTTTCATATCATAGTAAATGCTATGAGGAATTTAACCAGGGTACTGTGATAAAGAGTGGCTGTAGGTAGAGAGTACTACCTTAAACAAGAAGAAAATAAAAGGCTTCTTTGGGAATGCAACATTTGAGGTGAGGCCACGATATAAGGCTACAGTGATAGGTAGAGGCCAGATCATGAATGTGCCTTGAAGTCCGGGGTAGCAAGTGTGGGTGTTATTATTAGTGTAGTGGAAGGCTCTTACAAAGTTTAGAGCATGTGACTAACATGATCTGATTAACAGTTAAAATATTTTACACTAGCAACTGGGTAATGAATAGACTGTAAAGGTCAGTAGTGAAAGAAGAACAACCGGTTAGGAGGCTACTGCAGGTGAGAGATGAAGGTGTGTAGATATAATGTTGGCCCAGTGGAGGTCAAGTGGATGGTTTTGGAATGTATTTAGGAACTGGACATACTGGACTTGCTGATGGATTGGATGGAGGAATCAAGGATAATTAATAGGTTTTTAGCTTGAGCAATTAGCTTGATAATGGTGGCATTTATTGAGATACAAGAAGATTTAGAGAGAAAAGTCCAGGATTATGTTTTGAGCATGTTCAATAGACAAAGCCTGTTAGTCATTCAAGTGATGATAACGAGTAGCCAATTAGATCACTACACAAATCAGGAGATCATAGAGTCCATCATGGCTAAGCACATAAATTTGGGAGTCATCAGTACATATTTGGTGTTTAAAATCATGGCAATAGATGTGTTCATATAGGGAGAGAGTATAGAGCCAGTAGAGAAGACCAAATATCACGTCCTGGTGAGTGTCCATTAAATTGCAGTTGGCTGTCAGTATCTCCTTAAGCTTCTGACTGACCATTCTCAGCTTGAAGTCCACATAAATGATTCTTCGGTAATATTTGCTTTGGGTTATAGTATGTGTTTATTTTTTTTAATGTTCTGTTTACTCTAGAATGAATATGTACTCGTTTTTTTTGTTCAGCGTCTTATTTTACATGTTTTTTTGTTCAGCGTCTTATTTTACGTGCATTACATACAAACCTTGCTATGTTGTTTAATTTCTCGCTATCTTTATTTAGTATTGGTTTGCTTCATCTAGCAACTACTGAAAGGAATTATGTTAAAATTCTGTAACATAACAGTGATTGTCAACTTATCAGTTTCTTCTTGTAAGTCTGATGGTTTCTGTTTTACATATTTTGAGGCTACGTTCTTTGGTTTATACATATCCAGAATTGATACAGATTCTGAGTCAATTGTTTAATTTGACATTGTTTATAAGGTTTTAATTTTATTACATGTTTTTCTGTTTTAAAGCCAGCTCAGTCTGATGTCAATATATTTCGCCAGCCTTCTGTTGATTATTTTCGTGTGTATAGTTTCTTCATTCATTAGCTCTAAAAACTTTAGTTTGAAATAATTACAGATAGAGAGAAATTTGCAAAGATAATACAAAGAGTTCCTTTATAGCTTTATTCAAGTTTACCCAGCTGGTAACATCTTACACAATTATAGCACAATATCAAAACCAAGAAACTGGCATCGACACAATGCTTGCCTATAGTTCTATATTCCATACATATATAATATGTATAGTTGATATTATCACACGTGTAGATTTTAATAACCAACACTGACTTAAAATACAAAACTATTCAATTACCACAAAGAATTCCTCCATGCTACCCCTTTACAGCCACGCCTACTCTCTAAAATCTATCATCCTAAGCCCTAATAACCTCTAATCCATTCTATATTTCTATACCTTCATCAATTTGAGGATGTTATACAAATGGAATAAACAGTATATGATCTTTTGAGACTGGCTTTTTTCACTCAATATAATCCATC